AGCAGATGCCTGCCTGTCCCTCCTATCTTCCTTGTCCTGCCAGTTGTCCGACCCACGTGGGTGAGGCCTGGCATATTTAATACAGTTTGTAACCTCTGGGAGCTCGTTAACTCGGTATGCTTTTTAAAAAATTAAAATGCCATGTACTTGTGTCTGTGTTGGGAGTGCATGCTTGTGTGGCACGGCATCCATGCGGCCAGAGAGCAACTTGAAGAAATGAGCTCCGGATGCAGCTCCAGTATCAGGCTGGCGGCGGGCACTCACCTTCTGAGCAATATCAACTGCCCTGTGTTTTCTCTTTTTGAGATTGTGTTTCATCATCGAGGCTACTCTTAACCTCCTGATTCCCGGCTCCATCTCCCAAGTTCAGAAAATTACTGGTGTGCTATAACACTCCCAGCTTAGCTATGGGTACTTAAAAAAATAAATAAAATCTTGTGCCAGTGAAATGGCTCACTGGTAAGGGGCTGCTGCCATGGCTCACTGGTAAGGGGCTTGCTGCCATGGCTCACGGGTAAGGGGCTGCTGCCATGGCTCACGGGTAAGGGGCTGCTGCCAAGTCTTATCACAGAGTTCAGTGCCCTGGATCTACACAATGGAGGGAGGGAACAAATTCTTTCAAGCTGCCCTCTGACCTCCACAAGTTGTGGCTTACTCCCCTCACAAGAAATAAATATTATTTAAAAATTAATGTTGTTTTAGTTTATTTGTGACTGGTCTCATATAGCCTAGACTGGCCTCAAAGTTGCTATATAGCAGAGAATGATCTTGGGTTTCTGAGCCTTTTGCCTCTATTTCCCAAGCCCTGGGATGAGAGACGTACACTACTGTTCTGATTTGTATAGTGTTGGGATGGGGCACAGGGCTTCACACACATAAGGCAAGCACCTCACCTACAGCTGTGGGTTTTGTTAGGTCTCTTTTTAAGATACCTCCTTTTTTGGTTCATTCCCCTGGCCACTGGCCTCTTTGTTCCTCCTGGTTTTTATGAAAGATTTATTTCATTTTTATTCATGTGTCTCTATGTGTTTGTGCTACGTGTGTGCACATGTGTGTGGGTACCCATGGAGGCCAGCTGGATCCCTAGAACTGGAGTTACAGGCAGTCCTAAGGCACCTGATGTGTGTGCTGGGAGCTAACTCTGGTCCTCTGCGGGAGAGCACCGCTCAGCCCATCTCTCTAGTTTCACCTTAGTCTTTTGTTTGTTTCTGTGGTGTGAGGCATGGGTCCTAGAGCCCTGGACTTGCTAGGCAACCTTCAAAGCAACCACCTTTACCCTCAAGTCACCACTGTTAAAGATGCCCACCTCATACCACCCCTCAGACCCCACAAAGTCAAACAGAAACTGCTATAATGCGAGTCAGTGCATCAAACAGAAACAACGAACAATTCCACCACTAGCGTTGCTTATATATACACCACCCTTGCCACCAGCCAGGATCAACTAACCGCCACCCACGATAACAAACAGACGCAAGTGGAGATGCATGCCCGCAGTCCCAGCACCCATGATAACAGACAGACACAAGTGGAGATGCGTGCCCGCAGGCCCAGCACCCACGATAACAGACAGACGCAAGCGGGGATGCGTGCCCACAGGCCCAGCATTTTAGAGGATCGTGAGTTTGAGGCTAGGCTGATAATAAATAAATAAAAAGTGTCCAGTGACAGCAACAAACAAACTCCAGGGGCCAGAAAGATAGCTGAGAGGGTAAAGGTGCTTGCTGCCGAATCTGGTCACCAGAGTTCAGTGTCCAGTACCCAACGGTGGAAGGTGAGAATCCACACCTGCAAATTGTTCTCTGACCTTTACAAAACAAATCAATGTGAGAACAAACTCACACCGAGGGGCTAGGGAACTGGCTCGGTAAGAGTGCTTGATATACAAGCATGGGGGCCTGAGTTTGAATTCGCAGCATCCATGGTCACAAGCTCACCTAGAATCCCCGTGCTATGGAGGTAGAGACAAAGGCATCTGTTGGCTTTACTATCTGCCAGCCTAACTCCAGATTCAATGAGCGATCCGATTCAAGCAGGACATCTGATGTTCACACCTTACACACACACTGCACTCACACTGACACAGAGACATTGACAACCACACACAACCATATCCCATGCAAAATCTAAGAGTGAGTTGCTAGACCACCATTACTAGATGCTGGCAGTAGACAACCAATGACAAATGAGTATTAACCATTCACGCTCCCGATAACCAGCAGAGGCAGTGTCCTGCTGGTGACCAACAGTAAACGCTAGCGATTCCAGCGCAGTGGCACGTGCCTGTAACTCCAGCACTCAGTAGGCGGAGGGCAGGAGGATCAGGAGTTTAAGGTCATCTTGAGTGAGTTCAAGGGTGACTTACAGCATATGAGACTCTGTCTCGAAACAGCAGTGCATAGGGTGTAGCTCAGCTGGTGGAGGGCTTGCCTAACGTGCTTAAAGTCCTGGGCTCCATCTCCAGGACTGTGCACAGCAGTTGAATCATGCCTGTCATCGCAGCTCTTGGGAGACAGAGGCAGGAGGATCCGATTCCCAAGTCACCCTCGTCTATATTGTGCCTTTGAGACCAGCCTGGGGACACACGAGGCCCTGACTCAAAGCACCAAACCCTGGCACAGGCTGAGAGGATGGCTCAGTGCTTAAAAGCATCTGATATCTTTTCAGACGGCGAAAGCTGAGTTCCCAGCACCCACACGGTGCTTACAACCAACAGTAAATCCATCTCAAGGGAATCTGATACCCTCTTCAGGCCTCCCTAGGCACTTGTGTGCATATAACATACAAGCACACTGATGTATACACATGAATAAAACAGAAACATGTCTTAAGAAGTAACAAAAGTAAACACCCTGCCATCATAGATGACCACCACCTCCAACCCACCATGAGAACCATTGTGAGCACCAATCTTCACACACCAACAGCAACCCTCACCATTACAACCACAGCAGCACCCACTCAACAAGGAATACCCAGTGACTTGTCCAATTGCCAAGAAGGAATGACCTGCACCCATCTCTACCACTGAAGCCAGTAATGCACGAGCCTCCCAGGCACCAGCAGCTCCTGGGCATTTAGCATGCATGCTCCATAATAGACTCTCTTTGAACAGCATCCTGGCATTGCAACCCTCTGGAAAGCTCTCAGTATTCTCAGACACAACTGTGGTCCTCATAGGTAGTGTCAGTCTTTTTCTTTCTCTCTGCTTGTCCTCTTTGCCTTTCGTTTTCTTTCCTCTTGCCTGCCTGTCTGCCAGTCTCTTAGGACCCAGGCGGGACTCAATTCACTCTGTAGCAGATGATGACCTTGTACTGATTCTTTCTTCCCTCTGCAGGCATTTCCAGAGTTCTGGGCAGACAGACTTGGTTTAATGCAGTGCTGGGGAGAGAACGCTGCTTCCTGCCTGCTAGGAAACTATCAGCTCAACTCCAGCTTTGGATCTATTTTGGTTTCATTGAGAGAAGGTTATCTAGGTTGGCCTCCAATTCACGATTTTCTGCTTCAGCCTGCAGCGCTGTGCCACCATACCTGGCTCCAGGTCTCATCACTGTTCACTTTGACCCATTTCTCCCCTCAGATCTGTCTGCTGAGAAGTCCTTTGACTAAGCATTTCACAGCGCTGGCAGCCTAGGAGGGGTTTCCCTTCCTTTCAAGCAGCAAATCTCTTCCTGTTTTTCTTTTTTTTTTAAAAGACAGAGTCTCATGTAGCCCAGGCTGGCCTTAAACCTACTATATAGTCAAGGATGACTTTAAACTCCTGCCTCCATCTGCCAAGTGTGGGGACAACACGTCCAGTCTATGTGATGCTCCTGATGGAATCCAGGGCTGCACAGACAGACGGAGCACAGCCTCAGCCCTCCTGGCCTTGCTCTTTTACCCCAGCTCCCTGCTTCTACTCCAGCTATGTTTGCTGGATCCGCCAAGGACCCCAGCAGCTACCCCTGTCCTGGAAGCGTATCCTTATTCCCTCTGGCGGAATGACAATGAATGAAGGCTGAAGCAGACTGTGGGTTTGTGGAGCCACGGGGGTGATTTGTGTGACCATCGCTGGCTTTTATTGTGCATGGGGGATATTGGTCATCCCCCAGCCTCGTCATCGCCAGCAGGCCTTGACTTGCAGTCCGTCTCCACTGCCACCCCGGTGTAGTAGCGAGAACACAGCCTCTCGTCCCTGTGCCCTCCATGTTTGTCGTCTAGTCCTGTCTCCTCCTCTCTCTATCCCTCCCCATCTCCTCTGCTTTCCCCTTTTTCTCCTTTTCTTCTTCATCTAGTTCCTCCTCCTCCTCCTCCTCCTCCTCCTCCTCCTCCTCCTCCTCCTTTATCTCCTGCCCTACCCCACACCTCCAACTCCTCCTCTTTAGGACTGACTGGAAGGTAGATGACGGTGATGATGGCTGATTGTCAATGCTAGAGGTGACACTCAGGACCTTGAGCAAGGGCCCTACACTGACCTCCATCTGCCTCTGAGACCGTTACAATCACCTGTCATCACTTACACTGCTAACACACTCACAGCCCTCATGTGAGACACGGTCAGCCCCAACACTGGTGGACTCACAGTGGTCAAACCCGCAGACCCCATGAGTGTTTCCAAGGAGAGCTCCCCCAAACACTCCCATCTCTAGACCAACTTCCAAATATGAACTCCGGAAACAGAGGCCAAGACAGGAGGAAGTGCTTGTTTCAAACCACAGGGAAATCTAGGATCTGAGAGGACTCTCTAAGCCCCTGGAAAGGGACATGTCCCTCTCTGGCAAACTATGTAATCCCCTTAGGGATACCTTATCCCTTCCTATTCTGCAGACTTGGTCCTTATAGCCAATCTGGCACCCTTAGAACTTGATTCCTGGTGGAGGACCATGGGATACCCTGTGCTGCCCCATGGGAGTCCCTCTCTTAAGGCCCTGCAATTCTCATAACCATTGCCCCAATTTATGAGGGTGCTCAGGGCACTGCTACCAGGCCGTTACTCCCAGAGCCAATACTGAAGAACTTACCATGGTGAGGGTTGGTGTCTGGGCTCCTGTGGGTAGTGATAGGGGCACAGGCTCAGGGGGTTCCTGAGAGTGGCTCTGGCATGGCCCTGCTTCTTCATCTACTCCTTCTGCAGACTCCTGGCCCCAGTTCCTCTTGCAACAGCCCCTCTCTCACTTCCTTTGACGGGAGGGGCCATGGCCACAGGGGAGGGAAGCTGAGGGTGGGGACAATGCTCTGAGCCTTAGTAGCAAAGACCTTGCTGAAGTTGGAGTCTGGAGCCTGGAGGGATAGGTTAAAGACGTCTGGCAGCCACTGTCAGACAAGAGAAAGTCCCTTCTCCATCTACCTCCCCAAGAAAAGAGGCTACAGCAAAAGGCATCCAGGTCAGTTGACTGCAGGACTGGCCACCTAGTTGAGGTCTTTCTCTTCTGAGTCAGGAAAGGGAAGTGCTGTTTCCGATGTGTCTGCTCTGCGTGTTCTCGTGTAAACCTCTTAAGACCCTCCCTGCAGAGTGTTCCTCCAAAGCCAGTATGTTAGTAAGGACAAAGAGAGTGGAGGCCACCGCAGCCTCATGCCCATGTAGGATTTTGTACGTTAGATCTGGACTTCTTCTTCTTTTATTCATCTTTGTGTTTGTGTGTTTGAGTATGGGTGCGTGTGTGTGTGTGTGTGTGTGTGTGTGTGTGTGTGTGTGTGAAGGCCAGATGACAGCTATCACCCCACCTTGAGACAGGTGTCTTTCTGTCTTCCCACTGTGGAAGCCAGGCTTGCTGGCCTACAGGTTTCAGCGATTCTCCTGTCTCTACCTCCCATCTTGATGTGGAGCACTGGGGTTGCAGGTATTTGCCACCATTATCTGGCTTTATGGGGAGGTCTGTCTGGGGATTCAAACTCAAGTCCTGATGCTTGTGTGAAAAGGGTCATCTTCCTAGTGCCAAATCTGGCCTTAAAAAAAAAAGATTTACTTTAAGTAATTGTACTCATAAGTGTGTGTGTTGGAGACCAGCTTCAACAAAAATACCACTTACCGGAGTAGGGACACTGGGATAAGAAAATTAAGATGACAAAGATGCGGATGAAAACAATAAAACAAAACACAGGATAGCATCGGAGGGAGTTCCAGTGAATACTGAAATGGCCTGCGTTTAATTTTCCTTACACTTTTATACTCCAGTACCACAGGGGAAAAGACAAAAGACTGCTTTAACACATGACAAGAACAACTAGAGCAGTTATGTGCTTCAATACTTGCTGTCTCAAGTCATAAACATTCTGTTGTTTAGGCAGTGAACCCGCCCTAGACCAAGAGCTCTGAAGGCAGCTACTCCCAAGGTCAAACCTTCTATTTCAAAAGAAGGAGCAGAAGTATGTTTGAATATCCTGACCATTGGTCAGGGTGGGGTAGATCCAACTGTATGGGCCATCTTAAATATCAAAAGAACCAAGTATGAACATAGCAGACAATGAGAACTACTGAGAACTCAAGAACAATGGCAATGGGTTTTTGATCCTACTGCACGTACTGGCTTTGTGGGAGCCTAGGCAGTTTGGATGCTCACCTTACTAGACCTGGATGGAGGTGGGTGGTCCTTGGACTTCCCACAGGGCAGGGACCCTGTTTGCTCTTTGGGCTGATGTTGGAGGGGGTTTTGATTGGGGGAGGGGGAGGGAAATGGGAGGCAGTGGCGTGGAAGAGACAGAAATCTTCAATAAATAAATAAATAAATTAAAAAAAAAAACCCAAAAGAACCAAGTAACCACACCCTAGTTCAGGATGTGCAGCCCTGGTTGTTGTCAACAATTTTGAGCAACCTCAAACTCTCAGTTCAGACAAAGTGGAACTAGGTTCACAGTTTTGGGCCTCTGTGTGTCTGTGTCCATGTGTAAGTCAGAGGCACTGGATCTCCTGGACCTGGAGTTACAGGAAGTTGTGAACCATCTGATGTGGATGCTGGGAATTGAACAGAAGTCCTCTGGAACAGAAGGAAGTGCTCATAGCAGCTAGCCGAGCCATCTATCTGGCACCTCCACCCCTGTTGGCCCCAAATCTGTATTTTGTTGTGGGTTTTGTTTGTGTTTTGTGAGACAGTCTCATATGTAATTCTGACTGTTCTAGAATTTACTATGCAAAGTAGCTGGCCTCACACTCACAGAAATCATCCTGCCTCTTTCTCTGGAGTGCTGGGACCAAAGCTATGCACCACTGCTCCTGGCCCAATCTGGGTTTTCACACCTGTGACTTTGCCGATTTTATGACTTGGCTCTATCAGCGGCACCTAGAGCATGCAGGGCCTACCACACAGCCCAACCCTTGATCTTTGGAAAACCAGATCTCGCAAGAGTCCTGTTGACATTTGAGGAAATGATGGTCACCTAGGCAGACAGTGGTGGTGCACACCTTTAGTCCCAGCACTAGGGAGGAAGAGGCAGGCAGATCTCTGTGAGTTTGAGGCCAGCCTGGTCTACACAGGGAGTTTCAGGACAGCCAGGGCTACACAGAGAAACCCTGTCTCAAAACAAAGAGGTTGTCACCCTCTCATACCACCCACTGAGGATGTTCAGTCTTTGGTTTATGTCTGAGGACTGGGATGTCTCTGCATCCTGTGCTCTCTTGATGAGGCGTGCCCCCTCCTGGCCATAGCTGGGAAGTCTTGTCTCCAATATCCAGGGGCAGTAGCACAACTCAGTATGTAGAAAGGTGCAGAATGATCATATTTGGTCGGGAGTACAAGGAGACTGGATCTTTGAAAGCTTCTGTAAACTGCACTTTTGTCTTAAAATAAATTTGCTTGTTCTTCGAGAAAGGGTTTCTCTGTGTAGCCCTGGCTGTCTTGGAACTTGTCTTGTAGACCAGGCTGGCCCTGAACTTAGAGAGCCACCTGCCTCTGCCTCCTGAATGCTGGGATTAAAAATGGGTGTGCCACCATCTGGCTATTGATAGTTTTTTTTTTAAAAAAAGTTTATTTATTTATTATGTATACAATATTCTGTCTGTGTGCGTGTCTGCAGGCCAGAAGAGGGCACCAGATCTCATTACAGATGGTTGTGAGCCACCATGTGGTTGCTGGGAATTGAACCCAGGACCTTTGGAAGAGCAGACAATGCTCTTAACCACTGAGCCATCTCTCCAGCCCTATTGATAGGTTTTTATTTGTAGTGGCCAGAGTTCTCTCTCTCTGCTAGGGATGACTGATTAGGAAGTGTGGGCATGTGCCCCACTTTTAAGAGCTTTTATTTTGTTTATTCATTCGTGTGTGTGAGCACATATGCCACAGCAAGCTTGTGGAAGGCAGAGTACATTTTATAGAAATTGGTTCTCTCCTTCCACCACGTGGATCCCAGGGATTAAATTATAGCTGTTACCTTGGCAGGAGGTGCCTTTACACACTGAGACATGTTGCCAAGCCTAGCTGTGTGTTCCCTTTTGATCCTAGGGTCTGGGCTGGATGGTATGCCTATACAGAGACACAGACCCACTCACGAGCATCTACATAAGACAGAACTTTATTGATGTAAGGCTTCTTGGTGAGGAGTGTGTGGACCCCAAGGCAGGGCTTGTAGCACCATGATGGGGGTAGCCTGGATGTTGGGCTCCCCCTGGGGCAGGCAGGGCAGAGGTTGGGGTAGATCTTGCCCCTGGTTAGTCTGGGGGAGGGTCGCAGGGAGGTGGTATTAATCCCACTCCCCCATAGCAGATATAAATCCCCCCAGCTCAGAGTGGAGGGATAGAACAGTGCTGGGGGCAGGGCACCGGCATACCCCCTCCCCACCCCCACTCTTCACAGTACATATTCCGATCAAAGGGTGGGGGGAGTGCTGGGGACTTAAAGCTGTGTGCGGCATGGGGCAGCCCTCTTTTCACCGTCAGCTGGACAAGAAGAGGGTCCCTGGGGTAGCCAGCTCTTCTCCATCCCCTAGCCAGGATTCCTATAGGGGTTACCCAATAAATAACTTTCAACTGCATCTCACCCTTCAATCCCAGCCTCCCTCCCTCCCGCAGGCCCTCTCCAGTGGAGTTCCCTCGTCTGTGCTCCAGGGTGGCTCCGGGTGCTGCACACCCCTAGCGGCCTTGGCAGGTTTTGCAGCACATCTGGCGGAAGTAGGCTCGGCTACAGAACTGAAATTTGAGCACCAGGGGGCAGTAGGCCACCTTGTTCACATCCTTGCATTCTGCAGTGGTGGAGGGGAAGGGTAGGAGGGAAGGGAGAGAGATCAGTCAGCGATTTCCCCAGCGGTGGTGAGCTCTAGCTGGCTTTCCTCTTCACCCGTTCCCTCATCACTCACAGAGGGATTAGCATCATGCTTGCATCACAGTCTAATTTTGAGAATCTATGTATTTTCTATGTATTTATTGTTATCCTGTGTATGGTGTGTCTGAACAGGCATGCATGTCACAGCACACACATGAAGGTCAGGGGACTACTCTGGATTTGGTCCTCTCCTTTCATTGTTATGTGGGTTCTGGGGGATTGAACCACCTTTACTCACTGAGTCATTGCGCTGGCCCCCTTGTCTCCTGGTTATTGTTTTGAGGACTTTCTTTTGTTGTTGTTGTTTGTTTGTTTGTTTTTGAGACATGGCTTCTCTGTGAATCTTTGGAGCCTGTCCTGGAACTAGCTTTTGTAGACCAGGCTGGCCTCGAACTCACAGAGATCTGCCTGCCTCTGCCTCCTGAGTGCTGGGATTAAAGGTGTGCACCACCACTGCCTGGCTATTTTGAGGATTTCCAATACAGCATCTGGATCTGCCCAAGACATACCCTCAGTGAGAAAAACATTTTTTATTCTAGGATTTCCCTTTTTTCCTCTGCTGGAAATTGAACGTAGGGCTTTAAGTATATTACGCAGGCACTAGGAGTTATATTTCCTAGCCCGCCTTTGACGTTTTATTTTGACAGTGTTTGGATAAATTGCTCAGATGGGGCTTGCTCTGTAGTATAGGCAGGTCTTGAACATGCAGTCCTCCTGCCCTGGCCACCCTGATAACTTAAGATGACAGACCTGTTGTGCTTTTGATGCCAAGAGAATTTGTTTCCTTTGGCTTTTCAATAAACCTTTGAGTTCAGCTCAAAGAATTTGTAATTTAAAGGCTGGGTAACAGCTTAGTGAGAGAGCACTCACTGAGCACCTTGAAGACGGTGATGTTTAACAGCCTCTGTGGGGGCCATGGACAAATTCCCACTTTGCCTCTACGCAGCACTTCTTTCCAAATGAATGGATCGTTTGCAGTCTTCACAGACTGGGAAGACACAGTCTTGGAAGGTGAACCATTGCTGTCATCTAAATTTCTCTAATTCCCTCCATCAAAAATAAATTTGCACACAAAAAATTTTATAGCTGGGTGCAATGGCTCACATGCCTGTAGTCCTAGGTATGAGGGAGGACTGCTTGAGCATGGCGTTTGAGGTAACAAGGCCTGACTTAATAAAAAGAACCAGTTGTGTGTGGTGGTGCATGCTTGTCATCTCTGCAGGTGGGACAAGAAGTTGGAGGTCATCCTTGGCTACTGTGGTGTGGGAGGTCCTTCTGTCTCTGTGCTGCTTCTCTTGGCTAATGAATAAAGAACCTGCTTTGGCCTGTTGATAGGGCAGAACTTAGGTAGGCGGAGAGGATGGAACTGATTGCTGGGAGGAAGAAGGCAGAGTCAGAGAGATGCCATGGAGCCACCAGAGTCAGACATGCCAAATCTTTGCTGGTAAGCCACCGCCGTGTGGCGATACACGGATTAATAAATATGGGTTAATATAAGAGTTAGCTAATAATAAGCCCCAGCTAATGGGCCAAGCAGTGATTTAAATAATATGGTTTCGTGTGATTATTTTGGTTCTGGGCGGCTAGGACGAAGAAGCAGCTCCCTGCAACAAGACTGGGGTCTATTAGATCTTGTCTCAAAGTGATAAAACAAATCAAAACAGCTGGGCAGTGGTGGCACACCCCTTTAATCCCAGCACTTGGGAGGCAGAGGTAGGTGGATATCTGCAAACTCAGGCAGAGGCCAGTCTGGCCTAAAGAGTGAGTTCCAGGACAGGTATGGCTACGCAGAGAAACCCTGTCCTGAAAAACCAAAACCAAACAATAACCCCCCAAAAAAAAACAGATAAAAAATAAAGAAAAGAAAAAAAATTACATAGGTAAAAAAAAAAGGTGTAGTGTAAAAACGGTGTTGTGTAAGCACCGAATTTTCCTCCTTCCAAACAGGGCACATAGAATGGAGACGCAGTATAAACCGTGAGTGGGTAGGGACTACCATTGTCAGCATCTCACATGTCACGTGACAGATTTCTGTGCCCCAAACATCAACAGTGCCTGAGCTGGGCTTGGGATGAAGTAGTAGCACCCTCGAAGCCTTGGCTACCACCCCTGGCACTGCAAAAACTGGGCGTGGTGGTGAAGTCCTGTAACCCTAGCACTTGGAAGGCAGAGTCACCCTTGGTCATATGAGATCTGAGTTTGAATCTGAGACTCACAGGATAGAAGGACAGAGTCAACTGTCTGCCAGTTGCCCTGTGACCTTCACAGGAGCCCCAAAGCAGATGAATCACCATCTCACCTTTTCCCCGTGGTCCACATACCTTCTGGGCCATCTCCAGGGGGCACCACGCTGTCACACTTGGCCTCACACTGCTGCATGGTGGATGGCCGCAGGGCCTCTGTGCACTCTCGGGACGGCTGGCCCGTGTGGCTGGTGCACCGCACCGTGCGCTGCTGCTGGCCGAGGCCACACTGTGAGGAGCACTAAAGAGAGGAGCCACCGAGTCATCTCTCTAAGACCACTGTCCTCACCCTTATCCCGCAGGGCCGTGCCCACCTACCTCACCCCACTCGCTGGCCACCCAACGGGCAGGAGGGCAGCGGCGCAGGTTGCATCGCATAGTGGTTGGTGGCTTGGCGGAGGGAGGGCAGTGCCCAGGGGGCAGAGTGGACCGCTGATCTGCACTCTTACAAAGGACCACTCGGTGGCGGAGACCAGGCCCGCAGCTCGGGGTGCACTGCAGTTAGAACGGGTGTTTTATATTCAGTGTAGGGTGGGTGCTGGCCAGTGGGACACAAGTAATGGACAGGTAAGGAATGGACAGGTAACTGGTGGTCCCTGTGCTGTCCTCCAGCCCAGTCTCTGATACTGTGTTACCTGCAAGCCTCACCACCTGTCCCAGGCTGGGACCGCCTTTCATAGGCAACGGGCCAGACCAAACCCAAGTCCAGAAGCCTGGGAACCCACAATGACCTCTGTTGCTAACAGTAGGGCTTGGGGCAAGGTTGCTTCGGCAGCCTTTCCACACAAACAGCCCAGTTCCCGTGCGCCTTCTGTACTGAGAGTGGGTTGGGTGGGGAGAAAGGTGGAAGCTGACCTCAGACCATTCCAGGGCTGCCCACTCAGGAGGGCACATTGGGCCCTGGCAGGCCTCCAGCACAGGTGGGCGTGGCTGTGGACAGGCACTGTCATCTAGGGCTTTCTCCTCTGCAGCAGACACCCGGCGCTGGCACACCACCGAGCGGCTTCGCACCCCAGCGTCACAGCTGCGGCTGCACCGTGACCAGTTTCCTACAACCCAACTGTGAGGGTGGGGCAATGGGTCTGAGTGCTGCACAGGGCAGGGCAGCTCCCCTCAGAGATCACCATTGCCCTATACCCAGACTTCAGACAGGAGGGAGGGCTCTAAGGAGAACCCATTTTTTGGGCTACAAGCTTGTCTACAGTGCATGACAGCTCAGGTGCAGAACGGTTCAGTACATCAGTTGTTTTTTTGGTGTATGTATGTTTGTAGATGTGTGTGCATGCACATGTGTGCACTTGGAGCGCTAGAGGTGACTTGAGCGTCATCCTATGCCATCCCCACCTCGTCTTTTTTTTAAAGATAGCGGGTCTCGCCGGGTGGTGGCAGCGCACGCCTTTAATCCCAGCACTTGGGAGGCAGAGGCAGGCAGATCTCTGTGAGTTCGAGACCAGCCTGGTCTACAAGAGCTAGTTCCAGGACAGGCTACAAAACCACAGAGAAACCCTGTCTCGAAAAACAAAACAAAACAAAAACAAAAACAAAAAACAATAAAGATAGCGGGTCTCAATGAACGGAGCTCACTGACTGGCTAGCCTGGCTGCCATTCCAGTTCCAGGGATCCTGTCTCCACCCTCTCCTCCTAAGCTAGGGTTAGGTACCTGCCACTGTGCCCATGTTTTTGCTTGGGTGTCCTTTTATGACACAGGCACTTGCGACACATCAACGGGGCCATTTTCCCAGTCCCTGTGTGTGTGTGTGTGTGTTATTTAAAATTTTAAAGGACTTGTTTTTCTTTCTATGTGTGTCTGTGTGCACACATGTGTATATAGGTGCCAGTGGAGGGGACAGAAGAGGGTGTTGAATCCCTTGGAGCTGGAGTAACAGGCATCTGTGATCTATCTAACGCAGACACTAGGGTCAGACCTCCTCACAATCAAGAAGCAAGTGCTCTTTACTGAACCACCTCCTCACTGGATTGAAACAAGATCATTATGTGGCTCAGGGTGGCCTCCACTTCACTAGGTAATCCTGGTTGGCCCTGACCTCTTAACCCTTTTGTCTAAGCCTCCCAAGAGCTGGGATTGCAAGCATGAACTACCACATTCAGCCGACAATCTGCCTCTGACCCTCACTCAGGTGAGCACTTGACCCTGTGACCCCGTGAATCCCCTAACGCCAGCACTCACCCTATCGTCACCCACTCTCTCTCCCCTCTCCTGTGAGGACGATCCCTGACTGCAGAGAACACTCCCACCTTGTTCCACAGCGCGCACTTACTCTGGTGGGCATGGTTCTGTGTTGCAGGCACGCTGCCGGTTAGGCAATTTGCTGTGGGCGCTGCAGTAGTGTGGGGCCACCGCTGAGCTGTCCAGCTGATTTCGGCACTCCACCACTTGAACCTGGCTGCCTGGGGGAAGGGAGGAGCTCTCTCAGTCCTGGCCAGCCCAGAGGTGCTCAGGGTGGCTGCCGTGCTGGTCCCGGGCCCACACTCTGGCCTCACCGCCTGCGCACTGGGCTGAGCACTTGGTCCAGGGGGTGTAGTGCCAGGAGTAGGGAGGCAGCGCATCCCGGGCAATGGGCGCGTTGAAGCGGTAGTGGAGGGCAGGCAGCTCTGCCTGGGCCAGCACCTGCGGGTACAGGGAACAGCCATGGCCATGTCATGGACTTCCCATCCCCACAGGACACTCAGGTACTCCCGGACTTTGCCCCCAGCTTCATTGTTACCATGACAATGAGAGATGCATTAATGGGCCCCAGGGCTTCTAGGCTCTGGGCCTGATCTGGACCCTGACGTAGATGAAAGGTGGTCCCAGCCAAGGGAAGGCGGTGAGGTTGGGGGGTCCCAGGTAGCCCCTCCAGTAGCAGAGATTCCTGGTCCCCTTTTAGGGCTGAGGTAGAGCACATGGGTCAGAAGTGAAGTCACTCTGCCTGCCCTCCAACTCCCATGGAATCACAATTCTCATCCCATCTTACTTACCCAGGTGGCTAAGGGACAGGTTCAGATATTGGATGAAAATGTGGACGGAGCCTTTGGGGATCCAGACGACGTCCTCATACCCTGGGTGGTGGAGTTCTGCTGTCATCCCCTCAGCCTGCCTCCACATGCCCCTGCGTCCCTCCCCCTCATTGCTCACACTTAGGGCTGCAGCTAGCCACCTCATGCTACATGCTTAGAGCTTATATCATGGCAAATTCATCTGGACCTTATGAAGTATGGAACCATCATGTTCTCCTCCCCCGACCCGTGTGTGTGTGTGTGTGTGTGTGTGTGTGTGTGTGTGTGTGAGGGGGAGGGGGAGATGCACGAGTACCGTGTGTGTAGACTGGAGGAAAATTTTAAGGAGTCTGCTTTCTCCTTCCACATGTGGGTCCTGGGGATCAAATTTAAGTTCCCTTGCTTGCACGTTACTGACCAAACCATCTGCCCCTCTCATTGTGTTCATTTACATTATAAAACCGGGGCTCAGGGAAGCTGTGCAGTTCACCAGGGGTTTACAGGCAAGAAATGGTTGGCTGGGATTTGAGCCCAAATTTGTCTGCCTTAGAATGGGTGAATCCAATTCCCCATGCCCATTGAGCAGCGAGGTTGAACTGAGGCAGAGGGAAAAGGGTATCATGGAAGCTGCAATCTATACAGGTGAATGAGATTTGAGCACCATAAAGCACCACCACTGACTGCCCATCTGTGACCACTACATCTCTGCTCACCCATTCTCCCAAGATTCTTAGTGTCTATGCCTGGACCCCCACATTGTCCTGTGTGCTGGATTCTGCAATCACCTTCCCCTTGGGTTGTGTTTCTGTTCCCTAGTCTAGTCCATGTCTTTTTTGTTTGTTTTGTTTTGTAAGACAGTTTCTCTGTGTAACAGCCCTGGCTATTCTGGAACTTACTCTGTAGACCAGGCTGGCCTTGAACTCAGGCTGGCCTGCCTCTGCCTCCCTAGTGACAGGATTAAAGGTCAACTCAGTATCTTACCACTAGAGCACTGTGGACACTCCAGGGGTTGGGATCAGGGGTTCTTAGGCCGAAGAACCCCTCAGACTTCCCTCTTTTTCCTCATTCTCTTATCATTTTAACATCCTATGAGATCTTCATTCTGTCTCCCAACCCAGTGCCCTTTTTGTTTCTCTTGACAGCTTATTGCCTCTCCCAGGTCACCTACATTGACTCCTCTTGCTATTCCCTACCGCACATCTCAGAACCATGAATGGCAGACATCCTGCCACCTGACTTCTAATCCAACTCCTTTCTATCTTTTTTTCTGTATTCTATGTGCATGTGTTCCTGGGTTTTCGGGTGTGTGTGTGTGTGTGTGTGTGTGTGTGTGTGTGTGTGTGTCGGTAGGTAGATCAGGACAACACACACTGGCAGCTGGGTTTTCCCTTCCACCTTAGGTTCTGGCAATTGTTAGGCTTATGTAGTCAGTGCTTTTAACCATTGAGTTATCTGGTCCATGCCCAGATCTTTTTTTTTTTATGTGGGTTCAGTGAATCAAACTTAGGGTTTTGCGCTTGCACAACAAACACAATACTGATTGAGCATCTCCCTAGCCCAGGTGTTTTAGTCTTTTGTTGTTGTTGTTTTGTTGTTTCCTGGCTGTCCTGGAACTCACTCTGTAGCCCAGGCTGACCTAGAACTCACAGAGATCCACCTGCCTCTGCCTCCCGAGTGCTGGGATTAAAGGTGTGCGCCATCACTGCCTGGCTCTATTCTTAGACCAACCAAACAAACAAACCACCTCTAATCTAATCGTGCCTTGAGAATGACACACACACATTCTGCAACTTGTTGTCCCTGACAATCATATATCACCTAGTCACAATCCCTCTGTAACACTTTCAGAACCGTCATCCTTCTACAACCCTCTCATCATCTCATCCCTACTCCCTGGGCATTCTCTTTCTCAGCCCTGACAGTAAGACCTCCCATGACTCACAGGATGGGAAGTGACTCCCTGTAACCATCCTGAAGCCCCCAGGACGGTGGAGGGAGAGAGCTGGATCCTCAGTCCCAATTCATACAAATTTCCCAAGCCAGTAGCTGAGACCTTTCCTTATGACTGCAATGGGCTGACATGGACTGTGAACGTCACAGGATCTAGAATGGCTGTGTCTCTGGGCGTGTTTGGGTGGATATTTTAGACTGGGTTAACTGAGGTGGCAAGGTCCACCCTAACAGGCAGCACTGGTCCAGGGCTAGAGGACCAGACTGCGTATAAAGGAAGAAGAGAACTAAGCACCCATGATGGACTGTGTCTCTGAAAACTGCAGGCCATATGAACTCTTCCTTATTTCTACTGAGGTATTTTGTCTCAGCAACAAGAAAATTAGGGACAATTTTGTGCTCCCAGGACTTTGGGGTTCCCAAAACCCTACTATACTTCAGATCCTACAGGATCCCCAAAGTCTAAGGAGTTACTGGTCTTAGCTTCTATAATGAGGCTAACACAGATCCCAGCCACGGGAAGGAAGTAGATGCAAGGATTCTTACCACTTCCTGGCAAAGCTGGGCTGAAGACCCCCTCGATGGTCTCACAGGCACTGCCGTCACCCCCACACACTCGGCATTTGTCCTCTCGGAGATCAGAACCCAGGACCCGGTCACAGCCCACATGCTGCACAGGAAGACAGTGGTGGGTTGATGGCATCATGGAGACCTCTCCCTCCCCTAAACTTCTCCCCAACCTGTCTTTCCTCCTCCCTGGAGTCTCCTTTACCTTGCACTCGCCGCTGACACAGATGTCCACGGTGTCAGGGCGGCAGGGTGTGCCATCCACCACAGCTGCTGCTCTCTCCGTGTAAAAGTTGAAGCCTTCTGCTAGGCAAGTCAGTGAACAGGCCTTCACGCCCCCTGGGGGGCATGGCCCCATCAGACCTGGAGCCAGGTCACCCTGGAACTCCCTGCCTGAGGGGAGGTAAGGACAAGAGCAACAGACCCCAGACTTGACACCATGGGCAGAGGAAATAGGGATTTCCCCCTACATATAAAGTACCATTGAGTTGTATCAAAGACTGAATTATATCATTCTTTCCTTGGGCAGAAGATGAGATGCTGTGAACCTATAAGCCAACTGCTGCCATCCTCAGGGGTTCCAGGGCCTCTGGGAAGCTCACTCACCTCCGCGATACGTCTTCCACGTGTAGAACTTCCCACGGAAGGGAACACTGTCAAATTCAGAGCACTGCATTTCTCGGAAGTCCTGGGAGCCAGGGGGACAGTCCTGGGCAGGTGTGAGAAGAAGTCAGGGTAAGGAAGTGTTGTTCAGCCTGGCAGGAGTCCAGGTGAGGGCGGATGACCCATGGTAGCCACGAAGGTGTGTGTGTGTGTGAGTATTTGTGTTCACGTCTGGGTGCTGGACATCTGAATTCTGGTCCTCATATTTGCACTCAAGCACTTTACTAAGTAAACCATCTTCCCAGCCCCTATGTATTTATTTTTGAGACAGGCTCTTGCTGTAGATAAGCTGAGTTGGCCTCAAACTCGAAATCCTCCTGCCTCAGCCAGGTGCTAGACTCATAGGCACGCACCACTGTACCTGCTTATGAGACGGGACCTGAGTGATTCACTAAGTTACGGCTGAGCTGGGGGTAGATGCCTGGGTTCTGAGTTTAAACTTTTCTTGAGACAGGTGGAGCTGGTTTGCAGAAAAGGATTAAATTATTGTGAATGTGAGTGGTGTGTAGATGCTCTCTCTGGTAATCGCTGTGCAGGGGGCCACAGAGGCCACTGCTCCTGATGTCTCCCTGATGTCTGAGCATCCCTTCTGATTCGGCGGCCTGCACACCTAAACATCTCCACGAGTAGGCAATAGAGCCATCTTTAGCCAGAGGGAACCCTAACATTTAAGGAGGAACCAGTGGGACGCTCCAGAGGGGAAACACTCAAGATGGGCTTCGGAGGATGCTGGCTTGGTGACAAAGCTTACTCAGGCTTTGACGGATGACAGTGAGTAGTAGGGTCTTGGTTCTGGGGGAACTGAGCTGTGAAGGGGAAGACACTAAACTGTATTTGGAGAAGGGTCGGGGAGGGAGGGAGCTGACAGGGGAGGTGCTAGGCTGGAGGGAGGGGGATAGGATGGGGGGTGGTGGGAAGGAAGGGTGGCTGGGGCAGGACAATGGAGAACTCACATCGGTGTTGCAGGATCGGTGCCTCCGTCTCTCGCCCAGACAGTACTTGCCCCCAATGGTCGGCCTGGAAGGAGCAGGGGACAGTGGAGAGAGATGAGGCCGTGGGTAATGGATGCTGTGGGTTGCCTCGCTGTTGGAAGAGGGTCGCTAGGGCTGACCTGGGGCTGTCGCAGTGCCGACTGGAGGATGACACACCGCCACCACATGACCTGCTGCAGTCGCCCCATGGAGTCCATGGGCCCCAGGCCCCATCTACACCCTCTGGTCGAGACCCAAAGGGGACACACACACGTTTGTAGCACCACTGGGTGAAAAGGGGTGGGGGAGGGAAAAGGGGTGAGTGTGACTTTGCAAAGCTCTGGGTTCAATGCCTCTTCTCGGTCTATCATCCCCCAAATTACAGGCACAGTCCTCTCTGGAATTGGGGGTGTGTGACATGAGGAAGGGCTGGATCTGAAGGCAGGGTGTCTGACACAGTGGATCACAGCTTGAATCCAGAGGCAGGTTAATAGATACAGCTTAGGTGGAAGCAGTACCAGGGCCTATTAAACAAATGTGAGGGGCATGGCTTAAGATGCCAGGGGCTGTGGTCTCAAGCTGGGCAGGCAGGACCGAGGGGAAAGCTCTTAGGCAGTTCTCACCCCTTTGTCGATGGTATGTGTTTGGCACAATGTTCCCTCAGCAGCTGGGATGCTATTGGTGATGCACCGATTGCTCTTGCTCAGGCACCACAGTTCACTGCAGACCTCCTGCAGAAGGGAGGAGACCTCTCAGGCCCATCTTCCCCCACAGGCACGCCTTGGGGGACCCAGTACCCTCCTGGGTCTTAATGATCCCCCCTTAGGATCATGGCCTGACATTTCTCTTCTGTCAGTATGAATGGAACACTTACACTTACTATAAAGACTTTGGGCATTGTGACCCCTATTTCAGTGTAAGAAAACCAAGAAGTAGAAAGACAAGGTCCCTCTAGGCCCTGAAGATGGCTCATCAGATAAAAGCATTTCCTGCCAAGTCTTAACACCTGAGTTCAATCCCCAGGATCTACATGGTAGAAGGAACAGTTCCTAAAGGTGTCCTCTGACCACACGCATGCAATGGAATAAACACACCCAAAAGAAATAAATGTAATTTTACAGAAAAGGAAACATGGCTACTAGCTAGATATAACAGCACTTCTGTGGGACAGCCTAGTCTAACTCAGATCTTTGAAGTAGGTGCCGTATTTTACTGATTCAGGTTCTTCCAAAATCTGGGAGCTACTATGGAAGACAAGAAGGATTTTCACTTCCTCTATTGGACCAGTGAAACAACTCAGGAGAGAACAATTTGAAAACTTAGGGCTAGCTCAGGGCAAGAGTTTCAGCTGTCATTTTTTTCCCCAGCGATGAGTGAGTGTGTGTGTCAGGCCCAGGCTAAGACATTTGTCACACAAAACCAAAGCAACCCCAGAAAACTGTTCTAACCCTTCAGGTCAGTGGTTCTCAACCTGTGGGTCACGACCCCAGGGGAGGGTGTTGAATGACTCCTTCACAAGGGATCCTGCAATCAGATATTTACATTATGATTCAGAACAGTAGCAAAATTAGTTATAAAGCAGCAATGAAAATAATTTTATGATTGGGGGTCAGTCACCACAACATGAAGAACTGTATTAAAGGGTTTGTTTGCAGCTGTAGGAAGGCTGAGAACCCACCACCAGATTCAGATATGGCCATGTCTCATGTCCCCTCTCAGAATCTCGCCATCCAAGGGTTCATCAGTAATCCCCTTTTAGCAGATCCCTTCCAAGCCAATTCCTGAGTTCCAGGCCAACGAGAAACTTGGATTTGAACTAAGCCATGGCTGTAAGAAGCCTTCTAGGGTCAGCTCCCCTCAACCCTAAACACTCCTCAACAACATCCTCTCCAAAGAATCCCTGACTCTGCCACTCACAGGGATATGCCAGCTTTTCCGGCTTCACCTGCCTTGTATTATGGCCACTCATAAAATTATCAAGCCAGGCTGGGCAGTGGTGGTGCACACCTTTAATCCCAGCACTTGGGAGACAGAGGCAGGCAGCTCGCTGTGAGTTTGAGGCCAACCTGGTCTACAGAATGTCCAGGGTGACAGCCAAGGCTACACAGAGAAACCCTGTCTCGAAAAACAAACAAACAAAGCCATTCCAGCTTCAACCCCACTTCTGAGACTCCTTAAAGGATACTTATTCCACAAACAAAGCCATTCCAGCTTCAACCCCACTTCTGAGACTCCTTAAAGGATACTTATTCCAGCGTTGTTTTTGGCCTCCACTCCACAAGGAGGCACTGTTGTATATGTAAAATCTCTTATGTCACTCCAGATTTCAACTTTGCACTGACTTGCATCTCACCGCCTTCTCTGTGCCTGTTTTAGCATTTATAAGATGTCCAGTCTACCGGCTGCTTCTGACAGTATCAGTGAGATCATTTACACAAATGTCCTCTGGTTGGATTAACAATGGACACAGATAACCCGTGACCAGGAGCTAAATTCTTCACATATATCAACCTAATATTCTTATTGAGAAAGGATCTTCTGTAGCCCAGGCTGGCCTTCATCTGATGTGTAGCCAAGGATGACCTTGAACTCCCGACTTTTCACCTCACAAATGCTAGGTTAGACAGAAGCCAGGCTTCATACATGCTAGGCAAGCTTGCTACCAACTCAACCCCAGCTCCTATCAACCAATTTCCATGCAGTAAATGATTTTCTGTTATGCCAGAAAAATATTTCCCCCAAACATAAAAGGTTCAAGGTATGGGGACGGCATGTGGTGGACATACAGATACGTAGTCAGTATTTGCCACAGAAGCATCAGGACCTGAGTCTGACTCCCCAGAACCTAGTGTATAAGCCCAGTGAGGGAGCTGGAGATGGCTTAGCAGTGAAGAACTCTCGTTACTCTTGCAGAGGACCTGGGCTTAGGTCCCAGCACCCACACAGTGTCTCCAACGTTGTCTTCTGACCTCTGCAGAGACCAGGTGCAAACATACAGGAAGAACAAAGACAGGTGGATGTGGGCGGATCCCTGGGGCTTGGTGGCCTGCCTGAAAGGTAAGTTCCAGGCCAACGAAAGACCTTACTTCAAAAAGCAAATAAATAAATGGTTCAGTTTTAACATATTGCCGGCCCCAGCTCCAGCCTGCTATTCTGACAGTTCCTCTGCACAATGTCCTTTTTAATATAAAGTCAAAGAGTGGTCTGGGGGCGGAGGGTCGGATGCTTGGGGCAGAGACGGGTCAGCAGTTAACAACACTGGATGCCGATTTTGAGGATCAGAGTCGGGATCCCAGCTCACAAACACCAGCAACTCTAGCTCCAAGCGACCTGGTACCCTCCTCTGGCCCCCAGTCATCTGTGCACGCTCACACATTCACGCAGACACATAATATAAGTAAATCTAAAAGAAAGATATTGGGAGATAGAGACAGACAGATATCTATGCTGGCGCAATGTCTCAGTGGGTAAAAGCACCCCGACAACCCGAGTTTGATTCTTGGAGTCTATGGTAGATCTGACTCCCACAGGCAATCCTCTGGCGTCCACATGCATGTGTCTTTCACATATTACATACAAGAAAAATGTAAACACTGAAGCAAAAGGCTGACTTAAAAGGGAGTTCAAAGCACACACACAGAGTGCAGCTGCTCATATCCTTGCAGTTGTGGTTGGACTCACGGCCCTCCAGAGCTGGCTCTTCATCTGGTACTCGGGATAGTAGATTTATTGGGAGTTTAAATGATGCTTCCGCGTGCTTAGCACACACCAAGTGCTTGGTAAGCATCAGCTACTATCATGTTAAGTTCCAGGACACAAAAGACATTAGAGGTGGGTCCACGTTTGCGAAAAAGGTTCTGTGGTGACCAGCTAAATCAGTGTTGGGGGTGGGGTAAGAGTAAAAAATACCTGGCGGTGCACAGTGGCACAGACCTTTGATCTCCTCAGCAAGTGGGTCTCTATTGGGGTGAGGCCGGCCCGACCTACACAGCAAGTTCCAGGTCAACCAGGGCTATGTAGTAAGACCCTACTTCTTTTTGTTTCTTTGATGTACATTGGAATCTTGCCTACATATATGTATGTGTAAGGGTGTCAGATTCCTGTCGCTCGAGTTACAGATAGTTGTGAGTTGCCATGTGGGCTCTCCAAACCACCGAGTCAATAGCCCTTGCTTCAGTGTGCATTTCTTGGTCTTCCGGTGAGAGGAAGCGAGGAGTGGCCGGACAGACACCTGCTCTTCTGAGTCATCATGGGACTAGCTGTGTAAATGCAGGTGTCCAGTGAAGAGTGTGGAGCTGGGCTGGGTCTTTAGGGCCAAGGCTGAAAGGGGTCAGAGTGTGAATGAGGGAATGAGGATCGGAGCAGAGGAGGAGCTGACTGGCTCACCTGTCACCAGAGTGGGAAGGCAGCAGCTCTTCAGCCCTCAGGAGCTGTGGGGGAGCTGGGAGTCGGCTCCCCTGCACCCTAGTTCGTTCTTTTCTCCTGGTGTCACCGTATCACTTTCTGCCTTAATCCCTTGAGACAAGGCGCCTCCTGTCCCCACCTCCCACAGCACTATGGGTACTAGGGATAGATACATGGCTTCACCCAGTTTTTTGCATATGGGTGCTGACATTTGAACTCAGACACTTGTGTTTATGTAGCAGGTGTTCTTTCTCACCAAGCCATCTTCCCAGTTACTCAAGCTCATATTTTTGAAACAGGGTCTCACTGTATATAGCATTGGTAGGCCTGGAACTTGTTATGTTATGAAGTCAGACAAGCAGGCTGACTTCAAACTCAAAGAGATCCATCAGCCTCTGCCTTCTGTGTGTTGAGATTAAGGTTTGTGCCACCCCCCCATCCCTGTCCCAGCTCCCTTATTGATGCCAAGATGAAACTTTGAGAGTCTGAACCTCAGGGAAGACACAGGAGTTGGTCAGAGTCCCTGGAAGGCTCCCTCTAGTTCATCACCTAGTAAAGTAGACAGCCCCATCTCTAGGGAAACTACTTCCATCAAGAAGCCTGGACATGTTGCTCAGAACTGCCTAGAGACCTTAGAACCTGGTGTTGCTATAGTCCTCAAGTAAATTTTTGTGTGGAACAGAAGGGGGCTCTCCCTAGTCCAGTCCTCAGATGAACTGTCTGGACACGTAAGTCCATCTGCATGTATGTGTGTGCTGGCAAGCCCAACTGTGAGCGACCCACATGCATGTTGCGGTCAGAGGTCAACCTTGGCTATTTCTCCTTAGGAGCTGTCCCGCTTCTTTGAAACAGGTTTCTTACTGAAACTGGAATGTATCAAGGGGGCTGGCAGGCAGTGGGCACCAGGAGATCCGCAGGCTCCGGACTCCCCAGTGCTGGCTTTGTAAACACCACCCCCAGCTTATATATTGTTCTGCTGATCAAACTCGGGACCTCAGACTGGCAAAGCAAACCCTTTCCTGGCTGACTTTCTCCCCAGGCCCAGAGTCATTCTGAGTATCACACTCTCGGTCTTCTTTGGTCTGCTTGGCATCTGGATACACTCTGGGAGTAGGGGCTTCGTTTCATTCCTTTCCCTCTGCTTCCCCGGGAGGGTGTCCGGGAGAAGCTTCCCACCCTGTGGCCACCTCCCCTACCCAGGAAGGAAAGCAGGAAGGCTCTCTCTACCCCGTATTTACACTGACGCGATTTGACTCCATGCTGGAATCGGCACTGCTCATCAGCGTCGTAGGCCTGGCCGGGAGCCACCGTCGGGTACACGAAGTCCTGTCTGGGAGGCCGGTTATTCAGGCAAAGCCCCAGGCCCGAGCTGTGAGAACAAGAAAACAGCTATAACGCCAAGGGACTGCAAGGCCATGACCACAGGGTTATTCCCAACTAGGTGGGGTGGGGGAGTCAGCTCCCCCAACATGACTGCGCCCCCACTCAGCAGGCGATGTGGCTCACTCCAGAAAGCTGGCGATGTAGTCTCGACTGCACGATGACCACACGAATGGATTAGTCTTCATGGTAATGTGGGCAGCCATGAGTTTTGCTGGGTCCTGACCACGGGCCCCGCAGCCATTCCCCACACCATCGTGATTCATGCCAAATCTGAGGAGAGGGGTGTCAGTTCCTCTAGGCCGTGAGGGAACCCACCCAGCTCCTCTCACCCTCCTCTACCCTGTGTCCCCTGGCCTCACGTGTGCCCGATCTCATGGGCAATGGTGAATGCCGTGGCCAGGCCGATATCTTCATTGATGCTGCAGCTCCTCTCACGCTCACACATCCCACCCACAGGGGCCAGGCCTGGGAATGGGAATGTGGGAGGGGTCAGGGGACTCAGGGTTGTACTGGCTAGGTTCTGTCCACCCTCCACGGTGCCTGCCACGGACGGACTCCATACCCAGAGTGCCGCAGGGTTTGTTCTTGTAGATGCAGATGTCATAGCTGTGGAAACAGATGGCAGAGAGGTTTGGTGGCCCCCCCAGGCTGATGCCAGAGTCACCACTTCTGGGGAGGACAGTGTGAGGGTTTGCTGCAAGGTCTTTTGTGGCCCCGGATGAACTTGAACTCTCCATATAGCCAAGGATGACCCTGAGCTACTGATCTCTCCACCTCACCTCTACCTCCTAAGTGCTAGTATTTGAAGTATATACTTATATAACATGGTTTTCTAGGGCACTGGAGATTAAACCAAGGGCTTCATGGATGCTATTCAAGGACTCTATCACTTGAACTATATTCATGCCTGCCACCTATCCCAGACAAGGTCTCATGAAGTCCAGGCTGACCCTAAACTCCTGACCCTCCTACTTTCTCCAGTGCTGGGTTGCCATGACTGGCTCTGGGGATCAAACCATGCCTAAGCCTCATGCTGTACCCCATAGAACCAAGCAGCTGGTCCTGGGGTGCCTCATGCTGTACCCCCACAGAACCAATCATGCCTAAGCCTCATGCCGTACCCCCACAGAACCAATCATGCCTAAGCCTCATGCTGTACCCCATAGAACCAAGCAGCTGGTCCTGGGGTGCTGACAATACATTACTTAGTGACCTAATGAGAGTGGGTGCTTAGGGCTCAAATGTCAGCTTCCCATTTTCAGGGTCTCCTTGGTTCCCAGTTCCCATCCTCCACCCCCAGCTGTCCCCCTCTTTGGACTCTAATGATCCTTTTCCCACCCTTGAGGTCTCCCTGCTCCTTACCGTGTGATGAGCACAGCTGTGTCATGGTTGGCCACACCGTTCTCTGGGATGGCTTTGCCATGGCCACTGTGGCTCACGATGGATTTCTGCCACTTACAGAAGCTGTCCAGTGACTTGCCAGCATGGTGGGTGATCTCCAGGGTGGGCTGGGGATGGGAAGATTGAGGTGCATGGATGCCCCACCACCCTGCAGACATCAGGCAGCAATGGTGTAGATAGAGATACCACACCTGGTCCTCTGTGAGCAGGATAAGGCGAGTGACGAGGATGTTGACGATGTTTCCCAGACTCGAGTCCTGGAAAAGTTTGGCAACCTGACCTCCAAGAAACAAGAGAGACCAAGTCTTAAGAGGAGCCCAGAACAGTAAAGGACAGTGCTGTGGAACAATGGTCTTTTATCCTGTCATTTGCATTACTTTAATAAGATGCTGATTGGCCAGTAGCCAGGCAGGAAGTAGAGGTGGGGCGGTGAGAACAGGAGAATTCTGGGAAGAGGAAAGAGTCTGTCTTCAGCCATCACTGAGATGCAGATGAAGCAAGATTAGAATGCCTCACTGATGAAAGGTACCAAGTCACATGGCTAACATAGACAAGAATAATGGGTTAATGTAAGATGTAAGAGTTAGTTACTAAGAAGCCTGAGCTAACAGGCCAATCAGTTTATAATTAATGTAGTAGACTTCTGTGTATTTCTTTGGGACTGAACAGCTTTAGGACTCGGCAGGACAGAAACCTCTGTCAACAGAATTGGCATACCAATGTGGGGCTGACTATATCCACGTAAAACCTGAGAAAACTTGGAAAGGAATTCTAGACACTAAAATACAAAGTTTGGCTGCATTTTTTCTTTTTTCCAAATGGGTTTTGCTTGCTGGCAGCATGCTGCGGCACCTTTAAGAGAGGTCTTACTGATACAGAAGTAGCACAAGAAAAAGCCGCACGGTTTTGAAACAGCTTCCTGGGTCATGAAACCAGCATGAACTCTTACTCTTTCTGGAGGTCTGGCTATGGAGCATTTAAATGGAGTTTGTGGGCAACATGCTGTAAGTTACTTGGTGGTAGCATGGGCCAACTGGCTATCAAAGTTGGGGTGGTGAGGACAGCTTCCACCTAGCAGTCTCAGAGAAAGTGAACGGACTTCTGCCATGATGGACTGGGCAGAGCCAAAAGACAAAGCAGCCTTAGTCCTAGCCAAGCTGCTTTAGCATTTTAAGAAGGGGTCCTGGTCAGAAAAAGGGTTAGAGATGCACACTAGGACAGATTCAGACAAAAGAGATCTCTAAATGGTTTACAGTACGCTTAAAATACATGTAGGCTTGGGAGAGAAAAGAAAAAGGATAAAGTCCTTAAAATAAAAGAGAGAGTAGTTGGGTGTGGTGGCACACACCGTTAACCCAGCACTTGGGAGGCAGAGGCAGGCAGAGCTCTGTGAGTTCAAGGGCAGCCTGGTCTACACAGAGTGAGTTCCAGGAGAGCCAAAGATACACAGAGAAACCCTGTCTTGAAAAGCCAAAAATTAAGAATAAAAGAAATAGACTTTAAAATAAAGCTACGAAAAGATGGAAAATACACAGAGAGTCTGGATACTGTGTGTTATTGTGTTGTCTTTAAATTGTTTGATGGCTGAGAAAGGAGCAAAAGCTGCTAAAGAATATTTGATTATAAATGATGCTGGACTAATCCAACATATATATTTTGAAAATGCCTTGACTTAAAAATTTAAGTAAAAAGATGTGTTACTTTGAAGAAGAGGTTTTGATTTTGTTTCCAAAGGAAATGAGAGGCTGTGGATTCATTCTAAATTAAGAAAAATAAGGTTTGATCAAGGAAGACCCCCCTGAGAAATCTCTAATAGGAACAGATGGCCCAGATGTCTGAGTTATACATCAGGAACTGCCTCAAGGCTGCTGGCTGAGATGATCAAGCCTCAGAGAACATTCCAGTCAGGACTTCATTATAATTCTAAATTTTCTTTAGGTCCCCATAAGATTATCAGCTCGCCAATCAGCAGGAAGTAGCCTGGAAAACTACATCCACATTTCCAAAAATGGATTATGGATATTTATCTTTGTTTAGAGTGTTGGCTACAAGATGTTATGGATAATGGTCTGGACAAAAAGCTAAACAAAGGATATTAGATTCAGAGTTCTTGTTTTTGAAAAAAAAAAAGGGTGGGGAAGTGCTGTGGGATAATTGGCTTTTATCCTGCCACTTGCATTACTTTAATAAGATAGCCAAGCAGGAAGTAAAGGTAGGGCGAACAGGCAGGAAATAGAGGTGGGGCGGTGAGAACAGGAGAATTCTGGGAAGAGGAAAGAGTCAGTCTTCAGCCATCACTGAGATGCAGAGGAAGCAAGATGAGAATGCCTCACTGATGAAAGGTACCAAGTCACATGGCTAACATAGACAAGAATAATGGGTTAATGTAAGATGTAAGAGTTAGTTACTAAGAAGCCTGAGCTAACAGGCCAATCAGTTTATAATTAATGTAGTAGACCTCTGTGTATTTCTTTGGGACTGAACAGCTGCAGGACTGAGCAGGACAGAAACCTCTGTCAACAGGACAGAACTGTGGTGATGGTTCAGTTGGCAAAGTGCTTGCTATTCAAGCACGAGGATCTGAGTTCGATTCCCCAAACCCACATTAAAACAAACAAAAGACAGGCACAGGTATAAACCTGGAGGCTCACTAGCCAGCCAGGTTACTTGAATGTACAAGTTCCTGGTTCAGTGAAACAGCTTTTCTCAGAAAGTAGGGCAGAGAACAAAAGCCCCACCACTAGCTGAGGAAGTATTGTTGGTTTCTGGGAGTGGGGGGAGGGAGAAGGAGAAGGAGAAGGAGAGGGGGAGAGGGAGAGGGAGAGAGAGCGAGCCAGTTTTCTTCAGGGATGTAGTCCCTGGTTGGTTGTCCAAACACATACAGGAAGAACTAGTTGGACTCAGGTTAAACAAACAAACCGGGTCTGGCGGCACACTTTAAACCTCAGCACTCAGGAGGCAGAGAGAGTTCAGATTGGCTAGGGCTACATAGTGAGAGACCCTATTTCAAAAGGAGAGGGGGAGGGAGAGAGTAGATGAACTTGGGAGGGAGACATGGTTGGGGAAATAAGAGAAGAGTTGTGGGGGAAGAGAGTAGAGGGTGGATATGATCAAAACACACTGTTTACACATATGAAACTCTCAAGGTTCAAATAAAAAATGTACATATAAAAGGATGAAGAGCCACCGAGGAAGACACTGTGTCAGTCTTCGGCCTTGACCCTGGCGCATGGATGTTCCTGTGCCCCGAAACTGAAGGGTAAAAGCAGTGATCTTTCCTTTGAGTACCTACTATATGCTGGGTGCTGGATAAGGTTGCTGCCTGCACCCCTTCATCCCCACCTTAAAGACGAGGGTGCTGACGTGCAGAATGCTGGGCACACGGCTGGCGGTGCCACAGGGGAGATTCCAGTCTGCGCTGCTCTCCAGCATCTCTCTGGCTGTCCCAGTTCCGTTTCTCTCTACTTTATCCTTCATCTCCCCTTCTTGGCTCCCCCTACACACCTGGCGGCTGCATGAAGGATGTACAAGTTTCCTTACTCCTCTGCAGTCTGAGGGTACCAATTAAACATCAGTACAGGAAGGTGGAAGTCCAAGGTAAGAGACAGTGAAGAAGCAATAAGGCACAAAGAGGAAGTGGCCAAGTGGACCCAAGTGACTGAGGTCAGGCAAAGCAGCAATCTTGAGAGTCTTGGGCTACCCTTTTGCCTTACTGGTAATCCCCAGGAAGCCTGGCAAGTTTTAGGGAACTTTCAAAGCCCCAGCAAAGGATGTGGGATTGGGACAGAACACAGAGACAATGTCAACATTGTGTGCCATTTATTAGTCTGCTAAACTTTGTCTTTAAAATTTTTAAATTATATTTGTGTGTGCATGTGTGTGTGTATACATTTGCATGCTCTTGAATGTGTGGATGTCAGACAACTTCTGGAGGCCAGTTTTCCCCTTCTACCATGTGGGACTCTGCCAATAGAATTCTGGTTGTCAAGCCTTGTGCAGCACCTTTACCCGCTGAACCATCCTGCTCTTTCTTTGCTTCAGGGAAGCAGGAACCCATTCATCAAACCTTACTATATACTGTGTGCTCTACCATAACCCTTTTCCTCTTTAGCTATTGTAGACTGCTAACAGGAGAGGGACTTGAGGACCAGGGAGGTACAGGACCTTGATCAAGTTCTAGTACAGAAGCTGGGCACAGACAGCACTGTGGACCAGCACTGTGGACCAGCACTGTGGGTCAGTACTGTGGGCCAGCACTGTGGACCAGCACTGTGGGTCAGCACTGTGGGCCAGCACTGTGGGCCAGCACTGTGGACCAGCACTGTGGGCCAGCACTGTGGACCAGCACTGTGGGCCAGCACTGTGGGCCAGCACTGTGGGCCAGCACTGTGGACCAGCACTGTGGGCCAGCACTGTGGGCCAGCACTATGGGCCAGCACTGTGGACCAGCACTGTGGGTCAGCACTATGAAGCCCATGGATTCAGCCAGCACAGATTAAACATAGGTACAATGGGGTGGGGTATGGCACATTATTGATCCTTGCACTCGGGAGGTGGAGGGAGGAAGAGACTGGGTTCAAGGCCGGTCTCACTTAAATACAGAGTAGAGTCTGGACTACATGAGACCCTGTGGAAGGACACAAAGGAGAAGAGGGAGGAGTGGAAGAAGAAAGAAATTATCTCACAAAAACTTTCATGTCGGGCAGATGGCTAGGTGGGTAAAGTGCTTTTGTATAGATGTGGAAATCTGAGTTTAGATTCCCAGCACCCGTATCTATAGCAGCAATGCTGAGGGAGCAGGGGCTGCCAGGTTCCCGGAGCTCACCATTGGGCCAACCAGTTTAGCACTTTCAATGAGAGACCTTGTCTCAAAAAATGAGATGGAGGTACTGTAGGGACAGTTCCAGTTAACAGAGAGTTAGGAGCACTGACTGTTCTTGAGTACCCAGGTTCGATCCCTAGCACCCACTTGGCAGCTCCAACTGCCTGCAACTCCATTTTCAGGGGATCCAATACATGCACATGGTGCAAAGGCAGACATTCAGGCAAACACCCATACATGCAAAATAATAAATAACTGGAAAGAAATGAGATGGAGAGTGATTGATGAAGACACTAGTGTCAACCTCTGGACTCCACATGTATGTGAACACAAATGTACACACACCTGCACACCACATACATGCCACACACACAAAATCACAGTGTACTAAACACATACACACTTCCCATTATTATTGTCTAAATAATACTGTCTAAACATAGTTTAAAGGCTCTGGGAGGATATACACAGGTTACATGAAATTCCCCATAGTCTGAAGTGAGGGATTTTTTGGCTTTTTGGTACAAGGTTTTTCCATAGCGCAATCCCTTGACTTGCAAATCCTCCTTGCTCAGCCTCTGAGTACTGAGACAGTAGGCTCTGGGGGATCCCAGGCAGGGCCTTGTGTGTATTAGGCATGCCATGCATTGTTCTAAATGCAGCGTCTGGGTCTACTGTAGTCTTTACATGCACTTAATGCAAGGCAGAGAGGCGAAATACCCTGCTCTCCTAAGGCGGCCGTTCTCAGCCTGTGGGTACTGCATATCAGAGATTTACATTATGATTCACAGCAGTAATAAAATTATAGCTATGAAGTAGCAATGAAATAACTTTATGGTCGGGGTCACCACAACATGAAAAAGTGCATCAAAGGGTCGCAGCACTGACAGAAGGGGACAGAGCTGCATTTAGGCTCACGCAGGCATCTCGAGCATCTGTCACCAGACCTTTGGTGTGACGCGTCTGCCTGTCACTAGACAGACCTCTGCTCTCCCTCTTCCCACTCTCTGCTTTATTGTTTTGGCCCCTGGTTGCAGATCAGCAGTGAGGGTGTGGCACCTAGAGGCTGCAGGTCCCCAGGACCCCAGGCTCAGGAAGGGGAAGGCACTTACAATGTTCATGATGGCCAACACATACTGCTCCACATCTCTCCGCCCGTGGTAGGCCACCATCATCTTGTCGGCTACCACCAGTGTCTCCACATAGCGCTCCCTGCTGACTGATCGCTTCAGGCCCGGCTGGCCTCGCTCTGTCTCATTCCCCAGAGGTCTGGCAGGTGGTGGTTTCAGTGTCCGCAGCCACCATGGACGACCCTTCCATGGTTTTTCATCTGGGAGACAAAGCGGTGACTCTTCTGTCTGATAGCCTTGTAGACTGTGCTTGCTCTGAACTCTGGCCCTCCCTGTTTCCAGCTTCCCAGTGCTCACTTGATAGAGCTTTCCTATTTTCTTACCCATTGGTCATGTTTTGAACATGACTGCATGGACAATGCCTGTGCCCTTCAGCGGTTGCTTGAGTCTGTGTTGTGCATGTGGAGGCAGGAGTTTGACACTGGGCATGTTTCTCGACGACTCTCTACTGTATTTATGGAGGCTGGGTTTCTCACGAGAGCCAAGAGCTCATGGTTCACCTAGCCTAGTATCCAGCTGCTCCAGGGATCCCTGTCTCTGTCTCCCTAGCCCTGAGGTTTTAGATGGCCGACCATACTTGCCTGGGTGCTTAGGGATATGAACTTATGAACAATGGTCCTCATACTTGCGCTGTGAGGGCTTTACTCACCAAGCCTGGCTTTTGTGTGCACAGTTTGTAGGGTCTTGTGCAACTCGGGTAAGCATTTTACCATTGAACTCTCAGCTCGTGCTGGCATCTTGGCTGCATAGCCACTCAAGTGTCTGCTATGACCACGCTACAGCTGTGTGACCTGACAATAATTCTCTGTAAGGAATGGTTTCCCTATTGAACTCCTATCCCAGACAGCTGGTCACTCCCCCGCCTCAAACCATCACCCTCCTAGGACCAGTATCCTTCCTAGTCCCCTGCTCGCAGATGAAGGAGCTCTAGAATCCCCAACAGGGTCTTTCCTTGTTAGGCAGCACCTTGCTGACCTCTGTGGTGGAAAGACTGTTGCTTCTACTCGCCTCAAAGGAATAACGTCATATCTCCTCCCTGCCCATTCCCAAAGACATAGGAGTACCTCTCACTCCACAGGCTGTGTCCAGATGGGGGTGACGCAGAGAGGAACGCTTGTATACTACGTGGGGGCCACTCTCTTCTGGGCCACGGCGACCTTTGGGCCCACCTTGCAGGGGCTCAATCAGATACTCTTCCTCGCCTGCCACAATGAGACCGTGCTGGGCGGGGACAGAAAGCTCAGTTCAGGTGGTGGTATCCTGGCCCCTCTCTCTAGGACTGCATCCCCTCCTTCCCCTTCTTCAGTACTAGGAATCAAACCTAGAGCCTTGTTCATGCTAGGCAAGCACTCTACCACTCAGCTATATCCCCAGCCCCTCTTTAGTTCGGTTCTGTTTGTTTTTCTGAGGTGGGATCTTATGTAGCCCAGGCTATCTTGGAACTCACTCTGTGGCCCAGGCTTGTCTGAAACTCAACTATGTAGCTGAGGAGGAGTCAGAACTTCGGCCTGAGCTCCTGTGCACAGGTCAGATGAGGAGGTCCACCCCCATCAGTCTCCTTTATCTCCTCCTGACAGGGTCTCTCACTGGATCTGGGACCTGCTGTTCTCTGGCTAGAGTGCCTGGCTATGAAGCCCTCCAAACTCTGCCCCTCTCTGCCTACCACCTAGCACTGCAGGTGTACAGGTGGGATGCGAAATCAACGCCTTGTGTATAAACTCTATTGAGACTCAGCCCCACCCTTAAAAGAAAGAAAAAAATAAACAAATTTAAATACAATCTCATTATTTCTCCCCTTCCTCCCTTCAATTCCTCCTAAACTTTCTAATTCCTTAAAAAAGGATTTTACATTTATTTGTGTGTGGAGATCAGAGGACGACTTGAGGAAGTTATTGTCTCCCTCCACGATGAGGATCCCGGGATTGACTGCACGGCTCTAGGTTCGGCACAAGCACCTTTACCCACTGAGCCATTCATCGGACCTCCTGTTACTGACTTTATCACGCATGCTAGGCTGAGATCTCTTTACTTCCAGCCTCTCATGCGGTTATACTTATTCCTTTAAGCATATCTTCAGCTGCATCTCAAATGACTGCTCAGCTCAAGAAACTTAAAACAGCAAACATGACTAATCCATTCTGCTGATCATATGTTTTTCTTAACTTCCAGGTGGACGTGAGCATTTCCCCCTGCTTCCCAGAATCCTTAGCTTACCAGGCCCCCACAGGTGCTGATGGCCACGTGGGAGCTCCCAGCTTGGCCTTGTAGGTGGCCAGCATAGAGGCAGTGGGCTCGGGCAGCCCTCTGCCAGGCCAGGCCCTCCCGCGTCCAGTATTCCACGGAGACATGCCCTGCCAGGAGACGGGGGCTGCGGGTCAGATTCAGCAGGAAGTGAGTGCTGGGTGCGGCCACCTTGTAGAACAAGCGCGACTCGGCTGTGGCCCCTGTACCCCGACGCTGCCTCCGGGGGGCAGGTGGAGAGAAGGCCAGCATTGCCCCGTTGTGGTCCACGCGGGTTGGGAAGGCAATCTCATAGCTCTCCAAACTGGACAGGAGTTCATCTATAGGTAAAGGGATCAGAGACTGGGGTGGGTCCCTGCTCCGAAGCCAGTGATGATGGCCTCAGGAATCTAGGCCACTAGATAGTCAACCTATAAACTCTAGGACAAGTGAATTCCCCAACCCCAGCCCACTGACTTTTCTTTTTCTCAGGGACCAACTGGCTTCCTTAGTTTCTTGTTCCCTTCAGACAGCCACCATTGGATGAGCTTCCTACCTTGAGATCTGAAGGCTTGCGTGACCTTGAATGTGAGGCCCAGCCCCAGGGCAAGGGCCCAGCGGAGGATCTGGCAGGCAGAAGCCATAGGAGCTACGTGTCCACATGTCTCTCCCCAGCCCCGGCTGCTGGCAGCCCCTGCAGTGCTGCCTCCCCTGTTCACAGTCTGGGCAGCATCACCGGTCTCCTGGGAAGAGAGACTGAGTCAGGAGGGGCCTTGGTCCCACTGTCCAGCAGAGCCAGTGCCCCTTTGCCAGACCCTTGCCATCCCGAAGCCTCTCCACGACCCAGGCACTTCTATCAGAAGATTCCTGAGTAGTTGTAGCATCTGTTTCCATCTCCCACCTCCTCCCCACCATGTCCACACTCAGAGGGGACCCACACCAGGACAGGAAGCCACCTTCTCAAGCAGGTGATCTAGAATCACCTGGGAGGTGAAGTGGGAAGACACAACCTAAAAGCGGGTGTAACCAATTCCGGGGCAAGGGATCCAGGACTGTGAGAAAGTGAGCTAGTGCCCAAGTCTGACAACCTGAGTTCAACCTTCCAAACCCATAGAGCAAACGGAGAACTGACTATAAGTTGTCCCCAGATTTCCACACTTGTGTCTGTGGCACATGAGTAAGTGTGCATATGTGCTCTCTCTCTCTTATGTAGGCATGCACACACACCTACACACATGACAAATGAATGTAATTTTTAAAGACAGGGAGGGAGCTGGGGTTGGGCCTCTGCACCCCATCCCCCACACAGGGTTTCTCTGTAGCTTTGGAGCCTGTCCTGGCTTGCTCTGTAGACCAGGCTGGTCTCGAACTCACAGAGATCCTCCTGCCTCTGGCTCCTGAGTGCTGGCATTAAAGGCGTGCTCCACCACGCCTGTCTGGGCCTCTGGTTTCTGATTGTGAATGTGATGTGTCCAGATGCTACAAGGTCCTGGTTACCTGACTTCTGTGACACGGTGGACTGTACTCCTGAACCGTGAGCTAGAATCAGCCCTTCATCCCTTACATCACTGTTGTCGGGTATTTTGTCATAACAGCAGGAAAGAAAACAAGACAAGCACTGGCGAGTTTCACTTTCAGAATATAAGTGAGTCTATATGTGTAGACGAGAGGTGATGAAGACGGGCCAGGATCACCTCAGAATGAGGTAGAAATCAGATTCACTTGACAGCTAAGACTGGCCAGGCTGCGGTGGGGCTGGGGGTGACAGACACTTCACTGTGGAGAAAGGAGGGCGTCTCAGATTGGGATGTGCTCTCTAGAGAAACCAGGTAGACACTGGGAAGCAGAGGTTCAGAGGACAAAGACAGCTAACCATGGAGAGCAGAGGGTGCAGCAGGCAAGAGAACTGCAAAATCCAAAGTCTGAGGGTGGGCGGTTAGCTAGCTCGGCAGGTTTGCTATGGAAGCATTTGCTATGGAAATTTGCCTGACCAACCTGGGTTTGCTCCCCAGATCCTGCGTGGAAAGAGAATTGACTCCTGAAAGTTGCCCTCTGAAGTCCACACACTAATCAATAAATACCCTTTGACCTCTATAGGCATAGGGGGGCACCTGTGTTCTCACATCCACACATCAATAACAAAACAGGAGAAAAAAAAAACCTTTAAGATCCTGCGAGACCTAGCTTGACTCACCAACCAAGTCTGATGTACACACACACACACACACACACACACACACACACACACACGCACGCACACACGCGCACACACACACAAAGAAAAACAACACAACAACAACAACAAAAATAACTGCCAACTTAAAAAAACAAAGTAAGCAAGCAAACCAATCCCTGAAGCCAAACAAAAAACTCAGGGCATTTGAAAGCTGGGGCAATGGTCAGGGAGAATTTCCAATCTGTAGTTAAGACCAAGGCAGGCACTAAGATCTTTCAGGCTTCTTCAAGTCCCCCATTATCTTGGGATCTGGCTTTGGATCCCTGGCTACAGGTAGTTTGTATGTCCCCCTTCTGGTTTTTCCAGACAAGGCCTCTTGGTATAGCCCTGGCTATACTGCTACTCACTCTTTTGATCAGGCTGGCTTTGAACTCAGAGATCCACCTGTCTCTGCCTCCCTAATGCTGGGATCAGAGATGTGCACCACCATGCCTTCCTTAGAGGTAGGCTGTTAATGTCCCACACTGTGGTCACGTATTCCCAGAGGCTTTACCTTCACCCTACTTTCCTAGCTTTGCTCTTTAATTTTTTAAAAATTACATCCCTTTATTTTGTGTGTATGGAGGTCAGAGGATAACTTTACCCCCTGAGTCATCTCGGTTGCCCTCTAGCCTTGGTCTTTATCTTGCCTTTGCTCTCAGATGCGCAGGCTTGTTTCTCAGGCATCTGCCCCAGGCTAGTCTGCTGCAGACACTTCTCTGGGCTAACCACTCTGTGCCAAGCCCCTTCCCTGCCCTCTGGTCTCCACCCTCCACCTCCTCTTCTGTACAAATCCAAGCCCCCCTTAATCACACACTGTCTTGTTTTCTTTGCATTGCAGCCAAGTCTGAGAGTCGATCCCCAAACAGGGCAGTTTGGCAGCAGAGAGAGAAGCCGGAATTTCTCCAAGATGCTAGCGGAGAAAGCCACATTCCCTGCTTCTGCTTGGTCCTTCCAGTAATGGGAGGCTGTCTCACAGATATTTTGAGACTCTGCAGTTTTGTTCAGCCAGGCTAATGCGTACCCTTAGTTGGGTGGTGGGTTCCTTTTGTCTTCTTCTCAAACCCCAGTTCTGGGGTCCTCACTATCAGTAGAATGTGGAACCCTTGTCTATGGATTCTTCAGTTCAGCTGGGCACTAGGCAGGGGAACCCAGCCTGGAGGCGCACAAAGGGAAGGAGGCAGGTTGATCTTCAGCCCTAACCTGAGCAATGTTTGTTTGTCTGTTTATTTATTTTTTAGGAAAGGATCTCACATACCCCAGGTTCATCTCAGACTTTCTGTGTAGCTAAGAACTTGAATTTCTGACTCTCTTGCTTCCACGTTCCATGTGCTGGGAGCCCTCTATACCCAGTCTATGCAGAGCTGGGGACTGAATCCAGGCTTGAAGCACTCTGCTAACTGAGCTATATCTCAAGCCTCCTTGACATGAGGTTTTGGAGTTCAAAGTTTGCTGAGTCATCTCGTCTCTTCTTTGGGTCCGGTAAAAACCCTCTTGGCCTTCATTCTTTTTCAGTTCCTAAAGTAAAATCTCCTTTTTCCTCTTGCTTCTTTCCCGCCACTCCTTCCGTGCAGACATCTAAATCTGAAACCAGCAGTTAAGAGCGCTTAATGCTCTCCCAGAGGACTTGAGTTTTGTTTCCTCCCAGTGCCCACAGTGCAGAGTACAACCACTTACAACTCCAGTTCCAGGTCTAGTGCCCTCTTCTGGCCTCCAGGGGCACCTACATAAACATGGTACACATAAATTCATGCCAACACACACACACACACACACACACACGTAAATGTGTATTTTAAATATATTTAAATTTTAAAAAGATTCTGATTCTGATCCCCTGTGGCCTTCACTACCCCACTTCCACTCACGGGAGCAGCAGAGACAGGGGACCCAGCCTCCCAGCCTCTGCCCTTTCCCATTCTAGTCCTACCAGGGTAGAACCCAGTTGTGGAGCCTTTGAGTTCCCACCCCTCCCAATAACTTCATATGCTATCCAGTGTTTCTGACTCAGGTGGGGATCAGAGGCGGGGAGAAGGGCTCTGCTGGGTGAGTGACTGAGGGAGGTGGTGGCAGAGGTCACCTGTCCACAGAGTGGTAACTACTGCTAGGGGTGGCACAGCCCCCAGATGCCAGGACTGAAGGGAAGTCACTAGGTCTGGGGAAAGACAAGGCCTATCTGAGGATGGGTTCCTCAGAGGGGTCTCCTGCTTGGCTGGGCACAAGATCACAGAGGGCTATCTACACCAGTGTGTATATGAGCTTGTATGACTCGTGTGTGTGTGTGTGTGTGTGTGTGTGTGTGTGTGTGTACCTAGGCTTGATCCCTTCCCCCCCAAACCCCTCCTTTAGCAGGCTGGAGGGAGGCCATCAGCTTGTGTGTGTGTGGGGGGGGGGGGCAAGGGCTGGAGAAGGAAATGTCTCCCGGAAACTATGGCTCCATCCCATCCCTGGGATCGTGCAGGGACCAGCACTGCACACCAAGACCTCCGAAGGCCAGGCTGCCCGGGAAACCCAGCAGAAAACGCTTCCCAATGGAGGGTGAAGTCTCTTTGGCCAGGCCTAGGCAGCCATCAGCTGGGAGCAGCAGGCTTCCTTCAGGCACTGCACATCTGGCCTGGCTGCGGTGAGCAGACAGACAAAGGCCCAGCCAGAGAGGAGGCCTGAGGGGGAGGGGGCTGTGCTGGTCACCAGCCCCATTACCACCACCCAGCTGCTAATTAGAGGGTCTGAAAGTCTCCACCTAGCAGGGAGACACCCTGCCTGAGTACCGTGGCCTAGAGGAGCAGCTCGAAGGGAAGTGGCAGCCCCGGCCAGACACACAAACAACCACACACGCGCATTCTGTAGGGCAACCACACCTGTATAGCAGGAAAGCCTTGTTCACTAAACCCAAACACACACAACTACATACTCCCAAACCTATACAGAAACACATATTTTCACATGTACACCAGACAACACAGGCAACCCAGAAGCCCGGACAAACATGTACATCAGAAGCCTAAGTGCACAAGCTAAGACAACTCACAAGCCTGAGGCCTACACACACTCATTTAACACAGAAACCCAACCCCCCTACACATGTACACAAGTTTACACGTTCATTGAAGAGGAGACAAACTAGAATTCAATAAACCCAGACACGTATACACACAGACATTTCCACTAATCCCACTTCAGAGAAATGCAAATATTCAAACAGACACACTTAGGATCTACACACATCTACCTACAAACACACACACACACCACGGACACGGACACTTTTCTGAGAGTAAACACTAGTTTAGCCTCAGTTAAGCAAACACTCAACACACCTCAACAATCTGCCCACACAGAGTCGCTCCCAAATGCTGACAGTCACAAGGACACACAACCCGCAGAAGTACAACCTTTTGGATACACTGTTGACCCCGATCTTCCCGACCCTCCTCCCGCCCCAAACCTGAGCCAACCCACAGGCGTTCGGTATCTGCACACTTGGGGACATCCCGCACCAACATAACACACACACAGCGGGATCCATGCAGCGCACCCGACACACACAGAGTCACTCATAGTAACTGCACTCCGGGGGCTGCGCCGCCCCACTGGGTCCCCGGTCGTCGGTACCTGTGTGCCCGGGGCCTCTGGTCCACCGTGGCCGCACAGTCTCGCCGCCCAGCGCGCAGGAAGGGAGGGAGCTAGCGCGCGGCGGCGTGGCCGGGGGAGGGGGCGCGGGAAGGCACTCACTTCCTGAGCAGCCTGCCAGGGTTATAAAAAACCCCCAAACCCCGCCCGCTGCTGCTGCCGCGGCCGCCGCCGCCCCAGGGCCTCAGGCTGGACCCCTGCCAAAGACCCCGGAGCCTGGGTTACCCCGCCCTGCGAAGGGCGCCCCGCGCGGGTGGAGATGCTGGGGAGGAACTTGGGGTGGGGGTTGGGATGGGAAGTTGGGGGAGGTGGGGTGGGGAGCTAGGGGCGGTGATAGAAGGCGGGGGTGAGGGGAATAAGACGGAGAGTTGGAGGAGGAGAGGACGCACACAGTAGGGGGATGGGCGGGGAGCCCGAATTGCTTGGATGGGGGGTTAGGCGGGAGTTGATTGCGGAGAGGAGAGTTTGAATAGAAGGAGGTGGAGGCTGCGGGGGCATGGAGGAAGGGACAAAAATGAGTTGGGGAGTGGAGAGGGGGGTGGAACAAGGGGAGAGCCCACTGTCTCGCCTGCATTAGTCGCGTCAACAACAGCTGTTATTTATTGAGGGCTGGTCCTTGCTCAAGCAAACATCTATTGGGCACCTCCCCGTGTGCCAGGCATGGTGCCCGAGGGTGAGTGAATAAATCTCAGTTCACAAAGCTCCTGTCTGAGGTCTTTGATCTGCCCTTCGGTTTACTTCTTTAACTCTCCAGGAGTGGAGTGGGCCTCCTAGCCAGTTCCATTTTACAGATGTGAAAACTAAAGCCAGCCAAGGGGTTGTCGTGGTCATCTTTGGGACACAGTGCTTCGTCCAAGAGGAGTCAGTACATGGAGGAGAGGACCAGCAGTTCAGTGGAGCAGGGCTGGGATTCCAGGCAGCTTCATCCCAGGCCAGACTGTGGGAGTGTTAAACTGTTACCCATGGTCTCAGAATTCCAGGCCTGGTCCCCAGAGAGAGCTTTGGACTTGATGTCTCTGATTCTAGGTTTACTTGTCCTTAGAATGGGGTAATGACAGGCTTTGAAGGGAGGAGGGGAGGAAGAAGGGTGGCTGCAGGCGGAGCAGGGGAGTTTCAACCACAAACATTCCCTCTGCTGGGTTCAGCTAGGGATACAGGTAGTGTGCTGTCTAACCTAGACTTCGTCTTGAACTTTTAAATGACATGTTAGGGTTCATGTATACAGCTTGGGCACCATGCCAGACCAGAGGGGGCAACTAACTCTTAGATACCACAATACTGGAACCTCCATCCATCCCTGGGCCCCTTTCCTGGCTTGCCTTCCCTAACCCTCTGGCTCTGTAGAACAGGTGACTGCTTTTGTTTTCCCAGGTTCTCCCAGTGCCTAAGGCTGCTCCAGCTCCCCATCCCACCCGGGGATGGATTCTAGACTTACAGTGGGGATGTTTTCAGGACTATTTTTAACTGGGTAGCTTCTACCTAGGTGATCAAGGTCCTGCTACTTATCAGCTTTGAAACCACATCCCTCAATTAATATGCAAAACCTTGGCTCCCCCCCAAAACCATCTTCCCCTTTCTTACTACAGGTCCAGTGTTTTCTTGTGGCCTCCTTTTTCCACCAGGGTGGAACATGTGGTTTTATCGATTGGACAGTGGTGGTGGTGGGCATGATATCTTATCCTGAGTGATCTCCCTTGGGACTTTGATAGATTTTTTAAGTTAATTACTTGTATTTTTATGTATGTCTGTA